TATTATTACATAACAATTAATATATAACAAATAACAACTAAATTATTATATAAAGATTAATAAAAATAAATTTAGCTTTTTGTTCACTAATTATCTTATACTACAATTATTTAGTTATTTATGATGAGCCAAAATAATCGACTCACTTAGATTGCCGGTCGAACCGCCTCATCTCGATTGCGTGATAGTCCGACTGTCTCGATCGCCTTGCCTTCATGAACCGGATCGACCTGCAAAGCGCCGGGACGGGACCCCGGCGTAGACACTCCGACGCTCAAGTCAGAAAACATATATTTTGATCGTGTATGTTAAGCAATCATCAGAGCTTAGCCTTAAAAAATGAACCTGGTCCCTTATTTATAAGGAATTTAATGACTTACTCCCCAAGATAATGAGTTTCCTCCATAAATCAGAATTCTGATGTCCCTCAATGACTGTGTAGATATACATCAACTTTCATGAATATCTTTAACTAATACCGTGTATCACATAAATTAGCTCTAAGCTTCTTTGGACCGGCCTACCCGAGCTAACTGTTCAGGCTGGTCCACCGAGTTATTCTTCGTGCTACATCATCTAGCCCCCCCCCCCACTCTAGACAAGCTTATGAATATAAGACTTGTCTAAGAGTAGAACAATCATGTCTCGCCCAAGTGTATATCGTAAGACTACAACGTGGGGGTTCTGGGCTCGTCTAGCCCCCACAACCTACCATGTCGGAGTTCTGCAGCCATCTGCATGCAACTATGGCTCTTAGGCTAACTTCGTAATTTCATTGGTTTTGTGGTCCCCAAGTAACATGCTCGATGTTCTGCCACGTTAAAACGCTTGACATTCGCATTATTTGCTTGAGTTGTTACAATGACTCCCGTATTTACGGCCTCCCGAGCTCTACGAGATCGGGCACCGCTACGATGGGCTAATTACCCTTGATCTAGCTACAAAACAAAGGACCCGCTGCCGAGCTCCGAGAACTCGAGCAATGTCACGACAGACTTTCGCCCTGAATTTGGCTACGAGTCTAAGGATCCGCTGCCGATCTCATAAACACAACGATACTGGTGATCTTATAAACACAATGATAATACCGAGCACAACAATACTGCCGAGCTTATAAACACAACGACTATCCTGCCCTAATGCGGCGACGAGTTTAAATTCATGCCAGGCTAAGATAGGCTCGGTAATCGTTCGAATTAGACTCCGCCGAGCTCCGCGAGCTTGAGCGACGTTTTCAACAGGCTTTCGCCCTATCTCGACCACCACCGAGCTCCAGGAGCTAGAACACTACCACAACGAGGCCTTCAGATCGATTGGCTATGAGTCGGAGGACTCGCTCTGCCACAACAATCTCTTCAAATACGCATCTAGGCTACGAGTACGAGGAATCGCTCCCGAGCTCCGCGAGCTCGAGAACCGCCGCCACGATCTCTACAAATACGCATCTAGGCGCTCTAAGCTCCGCGAGCTCGAGAACCGCCGCAACGATCTCCACAAATACGCATCTAGGCGCTCTGAGCTCCACGAGCTCGAGAACCGCCGCAACGATCTCTGCAAACACACATCTAGGGGCTCCCAGGCCCCGCGAGCTCGAGAACCGCCGCAGCGATCTCTGCAAACACGCATCTAGGTGCTCCTGAGCTCCGCGAGCTCGAGAATCGCCGCAACGATCTATGCAAACACGCATCTAGGCGTTCTGTGAGCTCGAGAACTACCGCAGCGATCTCTGCAAACACGCATCTAGGCGCTCTAAGCTCCGCAAGCTCGAGAATCGCCGCAGCGATCTATGAAAACACGCATCTAGGCGCTCCTGAGCTCCGCGAGCTCGAGAACCGCCGTAACGATCTCTACAAATACGCATCTAGGCGCTCTGAGCTCCGCGAGCTCGAGAACCACCGCAGCGATCTCTGCAAACACGCATCTAGGCTCTAGGCCAACCCTGTACTTATCTTAGCATCAAAAAAACATTTTTCCAAAGATATGGAAACAATCGATATTTCTTCACAAGCAATAAGCCAAAGAAACTTATCATGACATGTGGACGTGATCATTAAATAGAGAAAAAGGCTAGCTTATGTACCTGGAGCCGAAAAGATCACCGACCTTTTTAAGAAAACAACCGGAGCGTGAATCCTCGAGAGCGTTGATTTTCTCCTCGAGCTAATCCTCATCAGAAAACAATCGGGGTTTAAAATATATCATCGTGTCTTTTACATAAATAATGGGGCTGAAAAACATCTTCTCGGGTCAACCCTCAGCGAAAACAGCCAAGGTGCAGAATATCTCATCGGTAGTGCAGACACTGTAAATAAGCGAGTGCGAAAGCGACCTCGACTTAGGTGTTCCATAAGGTGCGGTGGAGATCCGCCTGGACAAGACTATTCTCAAGGATTTTTTCTCCGACTGACATGGCGTGAGGTCATCCGAGCTACGTGAGCCCGATCCTCTCCGACTTACTTGGCGTGAGGTCATCCGAGCTACGTGAGCCCGATCCTCATCCTATGGACTATCGTTTTCAGATATTCAACTGCAACACATAACTTGCACAACAAAATCGTGGAAACGAATTATCTTGAAATAACATCATAATCATCTTTTTAAGCGGAAATAAGTTGTAGCTTAGCAGCTATACCAACAAAAAATAATATATATTATTTTTTTATTTTTTTATATGACCTGAGCGCGGTGAGTTCGTCGAGTCCGTTATCGCTGTACTGGACTCCTTGCAGGCACCTCCGAGCTTTCTCCGAAAATAGTCGCGACATAAGGCACCTCGCCATGTCTTTGTGCCCCCTCGAAGAACACTAGAGCTCTCAACATCTTGTGGGGTCCTGAGACAACATTGGAGCTTTGCTGATTGTTTTCCTTTGTTGCTTGCCTTTTTGTGTTCAAGCCCTGCACCTCCTCCTCTGTTCTTTCAAGATCTCGTCTCTTTTTTTTTTTATGTTTACAAAGCCCGCAGCTTGTCAAGATTGGACTCAAAATTATGCCAACTTTCCTGCCAACTTCTCGCACCTTAAAAAATTAAGCCCAAAAGGGCTGCTAACCTTATGTGGCCCACCACTAAGGCTCAAAATTAAGCCCACTTGATTATCTTCCTTGCTTTGCAATTCTGGCCCAAATCATAATTTGGAATAGCACTGCTACCAAATCTTATACCATATGCAACAAATTGGCCCAAATTAAAATTTGGAGCGTCCTCATCTCCTTCACACCTGCACCGAATCTGGCGGCGGCAGAAAACATCCACCAGGCTACTTGAACAATTTCTCAAACCTGCTACACCCTTGTTTTTTCCTCTGAAGTTGCGGCTGCTCGCTTTTCCTCTGAAGTAGTGACAGCTTCTCCTAACGGCGGCTGAAAAATCTAGCTTGGCCTCTGAAGTCTCACAATAATCACCATCGAGGCTTGTCACACCCACAGCGGTGCTGCTCGAGTACTACAATTGTCGTCCTTTTCCCAACAGAATCTAAAAATCCGCATGGAAAAATCGTAAGAGACGGCGGCCCGATTGCAGATGAAGCTCTCCCGGTGCAAAATTCACCGTTGGATCGGCTCCTCCCAGTCGCCGCAACCCGCACTTATCTTTTCTCCAAAAGTTTGTTGTTGATTCCTGTCTCTTTCCCTCCTTCTTCCTCGCACCCTCCCCATAGGTCCCTTTTTTTTTCTCCTCTTTTTTCTATTTCCCCCTTTACATATTAAACCCGACAACACACGCCGGTTGCCCGAGGAAGACGATGTGTGTCGTCCGGATCTTGCTTGCCCGAACGAATTGCCAGCTAGAGACTGAATATTGCGGTGGTCGTCACTGATGATGTCGTCTTGCCCTTTTCCTATCCTCCTTGAAACAGATTGCTGGCCGATTGGACCCTTTTGTTGTGCTGCTGCACTTTTTTTTTTCCTTCCTTCGTTCGAATTTTCCAGATCACATTATCGCGCACAAATTTTCTTTTTGAACAGAATCTCTTTTTGTTTCTTCTATCTGAATTGCTCCAGCGATTGCAAAGTACAAAATACCTCCTTCTCAGATTTTCTTTTATTTCTTTGTAAACAAAGGGATGTCGATTTACCTTCTCCGGCAGAACTCGTGTTGTCCCCACAGACGACGCCAATTTGATGAGCCAAAATAATCGACTCACTTAGATTGCCGGTCGAACCGCCTCATCTCGATTGCGTGATAGTCCGACTGTCTCGATCGCCTTGCCTTCATAAACCGGATCGACCTGCAAAGCGCCGGGACGGGACCCTGGCGTAGACACTTCGACGCTCAAGTCAGAAAACATATATTTTGATCGTGTATGTTAAGCAATCATCAGAGCTTAGCCTTAAAAAATGAACCTGGTCCCTTATTTATAAGGAATTTAATGACTTACTCCCCAAGATAATGAGTTTCCTCCATACATAAGAATTCTGATGTTCCTCAATGACTGTGTAGATATACATCAACTTTCATGAATATGTTTAACTAATACGTGTATCACATAAATTAGCTCTAAGCTTCTTTGGACCGACCTACCCGAGCTAACTGTTCAAGCCGGTCCACCGAATTATTCTTCGTGCTACATCAATTTAACAAATTTAATTAACAAATTTAATAAAAAAATATTATTATGTACTACATAACTACATGTAGTTCAAGTTACATTAATAAATGCAGTGTGCATCCATTGCTCGTCTTGATCAAGCTTTATCAACACATCAAATTTAAATCTATTTATCTTCCACTCAGAGCTTCACAGTTTTCAGAATTTTGGGACAAACGGTTTAACTCCGATCGACTAACAATCCCTGATGAGAAGCTAGGAAATCGGAAGCCCCAAAACGCAAAACCCTCTTTGCCTTGTGCTCAATTTGCCATAAATGTCAATTTCATGATGAGAAGCTAGGTAAACGAAAGCCCCAAAAGGCAAAACCATCTTCACCTTGGTGCTCAAGCGGCCATATTTGTCAATTTGAACCCTCTCCGTGTGTATCTCTTTCTGCAACTGCTGGAATTGAAAATGGATCCCGAGCAGACGTTCATAAGGGTGCAAGAACGATTCTCTGAGATGCTGACTCCGAAAATCAGAGCCAAGCTCGAGTACTTTTTCCTATTTTTGGCCATCACCCTTTTCTGTATTCTCGTCGTCATGCACGCTAATTATGTCCAGCAGGTTCGGCCCAAGATTGTTACAGTTAACTTTGTCCATTTTTTTTATGTACCCACTGAGTTCTTTAGTTGCTTGCAGTCAATTTTTGACATTTCTGTGTGAAATTGTCGAATGATTTGTTATCTCCATGGGTTTGTGCTTTTCGTTTTTCTATTTAACGTTGTGGTGATTCTTTTGTTCTCTGTATGTGAATGGTGAAGCCTGGCTGTTCGAGTGAGTTCTCGAGTGTGCAGTTGTCAGGTGCCCAGCTTATTCAGATTAGGGTAATCACAGTTTTTTCTTTCTTTCTTCCTTTGGTTGTACTTTGCTCTTAGCTAATTTTTGTATCTGTCGAGATTTATTTGCTTGTTGTCCAAAATAATCTGAAATGGCGCAAGTGGTGTGATGCATTGTCACGTTAATCATCGTAATCTTGCGTAACCCAACTATCAACTTTCTGGGATGGTTGATCTCGATGATGAAAATGCGGGGTGCCAACCTTTTGTTCTACAATGCGGATATCTTTTTTTCAGTTTTTTTAGCTACCTTTGGATTTTACCATCTCGTGCAGATCACCAGTGCTGGCTTGTGGTCGCATAATGATTCTGTGAATGGTGTGGTGGATGTTCATGATGCGGAAGCTGCTTCTGAAACTCAAAACCCCCTTAATCTGGAGGAAGATGGTTCACCTCATTCGGCCTCAAAATCGTGGTTAAGTTGGATAAGCTCTGACATGAGGAGGCTGAAATCTTCATTAGATGTTTGGAAGAGTGACAGTGATGTTTTGGTGTCTGACCAAGAAGTTTCTATCAGCAGTGAAAGATTTAAGCCAGCCTCTGATGATACGCCAGTGAAATCCAGTAAAGATGTTCAATGGAAGAGATTTTTTATTTCGCCCAAGGAGTTCCTAAGAGCAGCAATTGTCCATATCGGCAAAAAGTGGCATGGGCGCTTATCTTTCTTTCTGAGGTTCACAAGGCGAATTCTTGGAGGTTTATGGGTTAGAAATATGTTATATATTCTTTTCTCTATGTTATAATATATTCTTTTCTCTTCACATTATTTGTTTTTTTTTTTATTTTTAAAATTTTTACTAATGCCTTTTGATAGTTGAGCTTGAGATGCAAACCATTTCTTGATGAGAGCTCTGTTTACTTGAAACTTTAATTAATCAGGACTCTGTTTCCATGTAGGATATTTCTGGAATAAATTTGAACTTCGACATTCCCAAATGGCTAAGAATCTTACATTTGGACAGACTCAACTCCTACGCAGGTTGCTGCTGTCTTTGCTCATCTTGCTACTGCACTAAGTTGGTGCTTGGTTGGAATTCTTTCAGCTTCAAATACTTAGGCTTGAATGTTGTGTACATAATTCATTTCTTACCTATCTGTTCTGTTCACTGTTTGCATAAAGAATGGAGATCCTTCGTAAGATAATTGCAACATCTATTCTTGCAATCCAACTTCATCTTCTTCTTCCATACCTTCGTTTTATTAAATTATTTCGTATTTCACGTGTCATTTGCAGTTGTTGACCCTGAAATTTGACTGCTGTACTACTTGTGGAACTTTTATGGTAATTATTTCATTCATACAAATGTAACCTTATTGTGCTTATTGTAATAATGCAGTGCAGTGGCTCGAAAAGAGAAGCAATGCCTTCGAACCAGCTTATTTATATACCATGGAAAAGGTGTGGTTTGTGGTTCTTTCTTTTATGGACCCTCTTCTGTTTGAGCTGTTCCTCATTGTATCATTGTTTTTCAAACATATCAATGCGATAATGACTTCCTTCTTGTTTGGCTTTTGGTGTAGGGTTATTTCTTGTTGCCTGAAGAAGCCAGGTTAAAGCATGGAATTCAGATCGCCAATATTAGCATTTCAGCCCGGCACAGTTGCTTTGGCAACCGGTAATACGATGTCTACAGATGATGGAATTACCTGTTCAATTGAGCTTCTTTTTTTTTCTCATTTTGCTTACATAGGGATGTGTGAGAGATTCTCGAATGGGTTTTTAACTGTTACTATAAATAGTCATTTCTTATATAAACCATGGGCACTTTTATTATCAACAACTCATTTGATATGTTGCCATGCCATTTAGAGACACAATCTCTATTTTCAGTCTCGTACATGAGACATGTTCTGTTGAAAGGAATTTTGGAAATAAAGGCTCGAGACAACATACTGCAGATAGGGCAGTTGTTTGATGAATGTGTCCATTGGCTTGGTGGACAACATATACCCTAAACTCCATAAACATTTATGTTCTGGTTGCAATAAATACTATTTACTACATAATGAGCTCAGGTACTATAGGTGATGCTAACATGCCAGTGTTTTATAGTTGCATTCAATTTCATTTAAAGAAGATGATCATCACATGAAACCTGTATTCACAAGCAACAAACAGCAATTGTTTGTTTCCAAACTAGTTATTTAGTTACATTTGCCTTTGACAAGCTCAAATGCCCTATTCTTGGTGTTTGTTTTAGATCATTTTCATTGGAAGGCATAGTTTATTGCACTAAATTTATTAAGTTGGTTTGAGAGTGCTTCAATTTGGTAATCTTTGTGTTTCTATTCGCTTCTATCATTGTTTACTTTCACCATTTCCACTTTTATAATTTTTCTTATCCGTGATTTCATTTTCCTTTTATTTTCTTTACCATGATGCTCTGGTTCATACCTCCCTGACCTCTCCCATCCCTCAGGCAACATTTAATTACTGTAAGCGACACATCGAGGTGTTTCACTGGTCATTTAGCATCTAACTTTGATGAATGAATTTAAGTAAAAAACAAATAAAAAATAATTGATGTTTACTTGTCAATTATACACCAATAAGTTGTCCTTTATTAAGTTTTGTTCCCTTGCCATATTGTGTATATCCACCTATAAGAGTAGGAGTGACAATGACGGATACGGCATGATTAGGAAACACAATTATAGAGACAAATGACATGATGAGGCACAACACGATACGATCTGAAATATGACACCAAAACATGAAATAATGATTTTGTTAAATTTAGACTTACTATCATGTTTATCATCACATAAAAATAGTTACTATGATGACATGATAGTGAAACACGAACATGACACGAGAGCACGATTTGCCACCTCTATATAAGAGATACTAATACAATTCTCTAATTTATTTGTCCTACCTAGCATGTGATGCATTCTGAGTTATTCCTTTTGCATGAATATCATCCTTATTTGATTTCTTTCTGAATTGATTACCCTTTAGTTTTCCCTCCACAAAAGAGGTACCTTAAGTAGAATTGCCTCTTTAAGTTTCTAAATACTGACATCAAGTATACTGTTCAGGTGGCAGCAGCTGCTGATAAATAGGCTTGTCGGGTATGACACTATTCTGATGAACAGTTTGTTGAATTCTCCAGGCCTTGGTAACAGGAACTTCTTTTCATTCAACTTTATACTTGAAGTTGTGTTCGATGGCATTTTTTGAATCATAGTTCTTTTGTTGCACCAACAACCTTAAAATATTGTTTTGAGTACTCTTCATTCTGACTAATTTTTCCTTGGTTTGCACTTTATTAAAAGTTATACGAGTGCAGATTGTTAAACCACTGCCATTCTCACTCAATTTGGATCTCCCCTACCTATTTCTCTGTATCTCCTTTATTTGCAGTTATCCTAATTTTGGAACTTCCCCAAACCTGCATATTTTGGATGTTATTCTATCACAACAATTAAGTATTTAGCTGAAACTTGCTTTCCAAACATCACGAAATGTGACAAGTCCATCTGTATTTCTGTTGCTCATTTTTGTAATAAATGTGCTTATTTCAGGTTATCTGTATAATTACCAAACAAGGGAGTTCTACAATCTTACTTATGCGCATGAACAACCTGCAAGCTCTGCAAAATTTGGAGGTGAACCTCCTTTTGCAATCTGTTGGACTACCAGAAGTTTTTACGAAAATTAGCATTTGATGATGGAGCTCAATTTTCTCAGCAGTTGATGTGGAATACTGTTATATCGACATCTTTAGAATTCAAAATTTTAGTCCATCCAAACTCTCTTAATTGCTGATTTGCTCCAGTCAATTATGATTATGAATTAACTGAAATAAGTTGTTTCAATCTCACCTCAATAGTAATAAAAACTGGATACTTATCATCAGGTCTGTTCTTGTCTTGGTAGTCTATGGTATTGCTTAGGAAACTTAATTGTTTTTACTTAGTTGGAGCAAATTAGAATTTCTTGAGGAGCATAAAGTTGAAGTTAGTAGTACAGTTAGGTAGATAATATTTGCTAATCCATTTAGCCATCAGGATCCCAGATTATTTGCGACCATTTACTTTATATTTATCCAATATCTTGAAAAGTATCTGCGTAATGGTAATGCACAACTGATGTTTCTTTGCCTTTCTTGTTTCCCAGACTATCTTGTGACCAAGTGTGGCGTATTGATGATGTCACTTTTTGTGTTCTTCACAACCACGATGTCAGTTTCATTCACGTTGAGAGAGACGCAGACTCGCATGCTGAAGTTTACAGGTTTATTTGATAGATAAGCTATTTGTTTAATTAATCATCTTCAGCTGTATGTGTGATGTCAAACTGTTGGCAACTTCTGTTGTTGCATTTGTAAGGCATATGTGAAGCTTTCATAATCGTGAAGCTGAACAGGTACGAAGCTTTTGGTCTCTCGACTCGAGTCTTACAGTTTCGACCATCACCAGTATTCTATAGCTGAAAGTTCTATCTGTGCTCATGTTAATGTTGCTGGAAGAATACTTCCATTGTGAATATTTAGCATTTGTGCTGTTCGTGGAGAAAGTTTCTTTATTTGGATTTTGAACCCTCTTAACTGCCATTCCCTTCTCTGATCTTTTGCAGTGCAGCTCCAGCATCATGCTCGACACAGGCTTCCAACATTTCAATTAATTTTTGTGCATGTAATTGAATCACTTGTTTTTGTACCGGTGGGTATTCTGCCTTTCTATGTGATAATCTGCTATTTTCCCCTGTTTTGGCCTGACGTTCAGAACTTCAATAATATGATTGTTTATTTTATTTCCAGATAATGATTGGAATCCTATTTTTCCTCTTCGAGTTCTATGATGATCAGCTATTGGCTTTTATGGTTCTGATTCTTGTCTGGATCTGTGAGCTGTTCACACTCATCAGGTTGTTCTCTTTTCTCCATCTTCCTCCCCCTTGCCATAATAAAGCATTAAAAGTATCATATCGACAAAAAAGGACGGATTTTAGGTTCTTATCTAAAAATGGCACTAATGGTCTGCTTCAATATTAATCAGGATTCAACATTGTTTAAACTTTGATTTAAAATATTAAAATGAGCAGTTGTATTGAATGCGTGCTTATAATTTTCTAACAAATGAGGCTACCTTTCGTTCTTGTGTTAGGCTACCTGTGAATTGTTCAGTCTATAGGAGAAGAGACCATCTTTATATCATTGCACTGGTAGTTGTTCGGGACTTAGCTTTTTGAGTATAATAATTGTCTAATATAATGTTAAGCTGAATCTCTCTACCTTGATTGCTTTTCGTTTTGTAATTGTCGTTGTTTTAAAATTCGGATACGAGCCCACCTATGCCTCCCGATTTTCGTATAGGCAGTCCCTTCTAGGCGCACGGGCGATTAAGCGTCATCTAGGGGGGCGAGGCAGATGCAAAGTTAGTCAAATTGACTAGGAGGTTCTTAGGTGCTAGCATTTTCATTTTTTAAAATGTGTTTAAAACATAATAAAATATATTTTGTTTTATATACATGGAATATACTTTAAATAATTTTGTTTTCTTAAAAATAATAATCATATTATTGTTTCAAAACACAATAAAATAATTTTTGTGTTTTATACATTGAATATACATTAATTCTAAAATTAAAAATAATTATCATGTTAAAACTAAATTAATAGTTATGAATATATTTAGAACAATCTTTGTATTTGACCATATTAATTAGCATATTTTATATAATGTATCTTTGCTATTCTTTATGATGATGAATATAATAAATTTATGAATTTTTATACGATCCCATCTTTTCCCTGCCTAGGTGGGATCTTGTCCCTGCCTAGGTGCACTAGGTGTTGGGTCCCTGCTGCCTAGCAAGTCCTAACAACTTTTGGAACATTGACTAATTATTTAGAGTCTGAGATCTTCTGTGAGCAAGATGCATTAGTTGACTCAAGGCAGCAACCAATATGCCATTATCTACTATTTTGAGCCAGCTCTCTGAGATCTCTTAGAGGCCTTCTAAAGGGGACGGTCTATTTACCTTCTATCTAGTGCTGTAATCGAACCGAACGAGGCGAGCTTGGGCATTTCGACCTCGTGTTCGTTTACGTTCGAACACTATTTGTGTTCGTTCATTTATTCTTTGAGCAAATATTCGTGTTTGTGCTCGTTCGTTTAGTTGTTCATGAAAGTTCGAGTTCGTTCGTGATTGAATAATTTAAGACACAAACTTTTTAAATATGTTTGATTAACTTGAAATATGTTAGTTCGAACTTAAAAAAAATATTTTTATATTTTGGATTTTTGATTAAAAATATCATGTAATATACAAAATAAAATGAAGTTATATTAAATTAATGTTCGCAATCATTATAGTTCGCAAACGAGATCGTGTTTGTTCGAGTACTAAACGAGCCTAATTTTCTATTCGAACTCGGCTCAATTAACAAACGAACGAGCTCATGTCGAATACGAACGAGTCTTTGTTCGCTAACGTTCAGCTCATTAACAACCCTAAAGTCCTATCCCACTACTCGTTTACTTGTTAGTTTCTTTTTTGACTTCCTAAAGGGTACTGAGCTGATATATATTTAGCCCGCTTTCATGTATTCTATTTCTGATACTGTTAATCATGTTTTGCTTGAAGTGTTCGCACGCCGATATCGATGAAGTTTTTTCCTCGATTCTTTCTACTCTACTTTCTGGTGTTCCACATATATTTCTTCTCCTACACATATGGTAACATATCAATTTTTTAGCTTTTGTTATTGCACTATTTACGTCATCAGCTTCCTCTAACATGAGTTGTGTTGCAGGGTTCTCTTATTTAGCTCTGTCAACCTCTGCAGCATTTATGCAACACCTAGTCCTCTATTTCTGGAACCGATTTGAGGTATGATATATATCTCAAAGTTACACTCTCTTTCAGTTATGAGAATCTTTTTTTTTTTTTCCATGAACTAAAATATGAGATGGACATACATACCTAAGAGTGCATCAAGCATTTATCGGATACTAATGGCTGGCAGAGCCAGGCTTTGAGCCTCCTAATGTTAACTCTGAAGAAATTAGAAATAGATCAGCATAATTTCATTGGAATGTAATAAGCATCTCTTAGTGTTATACGGGCGTGCAAATCCACGGCCACATGGTCAAAGGAAAGCAGAGATAAATGTATGTAGTCACTTGTTAGGACAATTATAGAAACCCCACGTATTTGAGGCACCAAATGCTCAATTGCAACTATTTTTTGGGCACCTAGACGTGAAACATATGTCCCTTTTCTTGCTGACGGTTTTCCTTTTTATTCTTGTACCAAGTGATGTGCCATTTAGGTTCTTACCATTTGCTTCTGTTGATTTTTTTAGATTCGTGACAAAATCTATCAATGCTTCAGGTTCCTGCCCTGCAGAGGTTCATGCAAAATCGTCGGTCAAATCAGCAGCACCCAGATTTTCACATCACATCCTCAACCATTCTTGCCTCAACATTACGTATCACAAGATTAAACACGAGGAACAACACTGCATATATGGCTCCCGGACCACTACCCAGACCTGCAGCCGATAATGGGAACACGGCTAGAAATGTTGCCACTGGATTTCCCGGTCCTCAACCACAAGCCAACCATGATGATGATGATAACAATAACAATAACAATAGTAATACCAATAACAATAATCCAGATAGGATAGGCAATCCTCTTGGTATCGGGGGACAACCAATCCTTCGTCAGCCAGAGAATGGAGGAGGTGTGCCCGGGGCCATGAGTTCGTTTAGTTCCCTGTTGTTGTGGATCCTGGGTGGAGCTTCTTCAGAAAGCCTAAACTCGTTTTTATCGATATTTCGAGATTTTAGGTATCATGGCCAAGTCTATGCTGCCGCTGGACACCCACAACAAGAAAATCATACGGCGCAGAACAATGAATAATAATAGTAATACTAATTATCATTATTATTAAGTCTCCTGTTCCTTTTTTAAAAAAAAAAAAAAAAAACGAGCACGTATAGAAGTTACTTGTGATTTTACTATACTGTTGCTTTGGAGTGAGGCATTTGCCTTTTTTAACAAATGATTTAACCGCGATTGTGTGAGATAGGCCAAGTTCCGGAACTCATTCATGAAGACTTCAGCGCGGAATGCCTGATGCAACAGCCGTAATATGCTACAGAGAGGGCAACGTTAGAGAGAGCGCGTTGCCCTCGTAGAAATGTTCTTTGCCGTATTGTCTATTTCGCACTTTACTTGCACAATGGATATCTTATTGGGGTTCGACTTTTGGGTAAAAGTGATTATTGTAAACCCTTTCTCTGAAATAGATGGTGTCCTAATCTTATGGTTGTTTCTGGGGATTACATTGGTCAGTTATGTCCTTTTGTCAATGAATGACAGCATTAGGTGAATGTGGACAGTCCCTTTCAACCACTGCTTAAATGCTCTCTCGGCCTAGTGAGCATCTCCGGTGTATGAATGTCAATGTTCACGCCACATGTCAATAATTAAATAGGTCGTGATTTTTTTCTATAAAATCACCGATGACGTGATAGATTATAACAGTGTACGACTATCTCCGATGTGCTTTTTCTTTCCTTCAGATCATTTGTATGTGTATATTATTTATTTTCTAAAAAAACAAAAATGATAAAGCAAGGTATAGAAGATTGCTCAAGTTCATTGTATAAAAACATATGAAGACTTCGGCTTTGAGATTTTAATTACTTAATTATGTTTATTTTATTTATTAATTAAAAAAAAGTGACTTTCATCTTCCCAAAATTATATAAATATAAAATTAGAAAAATTAAAATATTCAATTAAAAAACATTTATTTTTTAATTAAAAAGGGTAATAATGGGTTTGATCTTCCTAAAATTAAATAAAGAATAAAATTAAAAAATTGATTTTTTTAGTTAAAGAAAATAATTTTCATCTTCTCAAAACTAGATAAATGATAAAATTAAGGAAATCAATTAATTAAGTAAAAAAATGATCAAGTAAATACAAAAGTAGTTTAGTTCTAAAAAAACTCGTCAATCCACTACTCCCTATCGCTAATGATAGGATAATTTAATAGAATGTTTATATAAATTTACCCTTTTTCAAAATTTAATTCATTGATTAGTAGTAATTAAAATAATAGAAAGAAATCAAAATGCATAATCTTTCATGTTATTATACTTAAAATCTTAATATAATTCGTTAAATTTAACGAACAGACCAATAAATAGGCAAAATAAATGGATCATTTATTAAATTTTTCCTTCAAAAAGTGGGTAAAAAAATAAGTTTTTATTGTGAAAAATGAAAAATATTGATATTTACATTTATCAATATATCTCTCCTCTTTATGTTATGTAGTAGACTCCAAAACTACTCTCTTAAGTATGCTACAAAATTGGGTACCAACTTTTTTCTTGGCCTTCTCTTACTACACTTAGTATTAAACTGTACAAAGAACAAAAGAAGCATTCTACTCCATGCTCAAAACCATAAAAAAATCCTTCACATTTTCTTTTCTCCCTTCATTTTTCAGAATCTCACAGCACAAAAAAATCCTCAAAATGAGCATCCCGAGCCGATCGCCACACGGCCAAAGCCACGGGCCCCACAAAAGCTCTTCGTACGCCGTGAGTTACGCCGAATGTCTCAAGAACCATGCGGCGGCAGCCGGAGGCACTGCCGTCGACGGATGCCGGGAGTTCATGGCCGGAGGCAGAGAGGGCGCCATAGAATCCCTCACATGCGCCGCATGCAAATGCCACCGGAATTTCCACAGGAGAATACTATTAATGCATGTGGAAGCTCCGGCTGCTGGTGGCGGAAGGGAGAAGAAGAGGTTCCGGACGAAGTTCACTGGCGAGCAGAAGGAGGCGATGCTCGGTTTTGCCGAGAAGGCCGAGTGGAAACTGTCGAGGGTCGATGAATATGAGGTGAGGCGGTTTTGCGAGGAGATTGGTGTGAGTAGGAAAGTGCTCAAGGTGTGGATGCACAATAATAAGTATAAATTTGCCAAGAATAAGAACAATTGATCAAGTATTAATTGAAGCAATAATTTTTCTGCCATCTATTAGTTTTGTGGTTTGATTTTGCTTTATTAGCTCTGTCTAACTTATACTCATTGTACTTGAGAGCTACAAACTAACCACATGGATGTGTTGTATGAGTTGTTAATTGGACCAGTTGATTCAAATTTTGTATTTCATCAGCCTAACTTGTTAACATTGTTTACTCAAATGGAAATATGATAAGAGGTATATGCAATAAACAAAGTACCAAAAGTTGATGCTATTGACGATTTCGCAAGCGGTTACGATTCAAAATTGCGACGATTTCGCCATTCAAAATAAATCTATTGACACGTGGCTCATTACTGAGAAACGTGTTTGCGTTTATCTGCGACGACTGGTCGTGACTGCTAATAATGTTAAATTTACAATAGAAATAAGTCGTCGCTATTTGATTTAAGTACGATTCTTTTCTAACTCACGGTATCTCTTTCTTGCAGCCAATTCCGGTCCAAACACCACTGCACGATACGGCCCTGATCGCTAGCCTCCACTTTGATAATTTTCAGGTGATTTTGTTTCTTGTTTGTTGTATTTGTAAGCTAGCAAATAGTGATGTTCTTGTTTATTGTAGATAATTGTGTCCTTGTAAGTAGTGGTTTATATTCTTGTTTGTTCCTTGTAAGCCGTCTTTTGCCTAAGATCCACTGTTTTTGTGGTTTTTAGCTGACAAACATTCCAATGCATTATACCTTTCAACCAAACCATAACTTCATCTTGATCACTTCATTTCTGAAACTGCAAAATTGCTCTACTTATTGATGTAATAACAACTAACAAGCAGCATTTCAGTATTCGAGAAAAAAAAGAGTCGGCACATGAGCCATCATACATTTCTACCCGACAATGAGTAATCAACACAACCTCAACCAAACGCCCTTTCGCCTAAGTATGAGCCAAGTCGCAATTCACGATTTTTCATTTTGGAACTCTACAGTAGTATTTGCCTTAGAATTCAGTGTCGAAGCATGATACCATTATCTTTGAAATCATCGACCGTGCAAAGGGAATGTAGCTTAAGCTATACCTGTGCATAGCAAAAAACTTGTATCAACTCATTGCTCCTCAAATAGACAACGAGAAGCTGCAAACAATACCCGCCTTGTACGGATCATTTTTCTTCTTTTTTTCTTTACGAAATAAGAAAATATAAATTAAAAGGTCATTCTCTTTTTCATCTGAACTAGCACTAGAAGTTTCAAAACTATAAAATAAATAGAAAATCGATATTTCTGAAATTCAAGGCACAAAACCTACTATTGCAGTACTTGTGTTCATAGTGCTTCCATAAAACTAATCTTTCAAGTTTAAACCAGGGAAGTCTTTGAAATTATGAATCGAATAAGACTCACCAAACAAGAGCACCAAACTCAAGCACGATTGCCAGAAGAGTCAATAGCTTGTTCCGAACCTAAATCATTCAGGTTAATAGACAATCTCAGCGAGAGATGAAAAGAAAGATAGAGTGGTAAAACCGAAACGTAAATTGATCAGCATAAAACACTTACATATACAGCACAAAAGAGAGCAACTATTATGCTAGCAATATATATTGCTGTAGCATATATACGAACAGGGTCAAGCATCATTGTCAGTTGTCTTTTAGGGCCTATAAGAAATGCTGTGCTGCCCAGAAAAACAATCGAGTTAGCATTTGAAAGCTAGTTTTCTACTAATGCCAAAAAAAAAAAAAAAAAAAAAAAAAAAATGATAAGAGAAATGAGAACAGAAATCTATAAACGAAAACCATAAATAAAACACTGATTAGCTAGCTTAGTGATCAGAGGTATGCAGATCTATGAGAAGACAAGTAATACAGATACGACAACTTTGTGAGAAAACTGTAAACAAAACGAAACGGCATATACTAACAGTATGAAGAGTCCGACAAATGGCAAAAGTTCTTACTATTCCTTGAGATTGTCAAAAGAAATGACCTTTAGAAATGATAAAATGACAAGGAAGAAAGAAGGAAAAAATCAGTAACATGCAGCACAACAAGAAAGTGGGTCAATAAGAGTCATATCTTGTCTAATAATTTGATATGCAAAAGCAAAGCCATAAACATTTACAACAGGTATGTCACAATGACAATGTTATACGCCTATCATCTTCTAAACTTGAAAATAAAGTAGGTGAAACTGTACGAACCAAGCAACCTTTTACAATATAACTAATGGTAATCAATAAATTTGATGATATTGTGATTTCATGCGGTTAGAACAATATAGTTTATAGATATCAAAAGATATCTCGGATGCCACTTGATAACTTAGATAGCACGTATACAAAAATCCAAAATATGTAAAATTTACATATTATCTAGAAACAAACCTTCCAAGAGCAAGCAGATTGCCAAACGAGAAAGTTATTCCAAATTTGATGGGATGGAAGAAAACTAGCATCGACTGTCGACATAAATACAAACCATGGTGAATCAAGTGCTCAAATACTGGAAAATTCTGACTGAAAATATGCTCGTATACTGACGAAAACACAACTAACTTAATCATCACCACCTCAAATAACAAAAGAAAATGAGGACAGCTTACCAAGAGCGTGCAAGTTATACCGGCACACAAGCAAATCGCAAAGCCGTAAAGCCTCTGTCGAGGGAAAATCGAACAAACACAAGAGTATCAACAAAGATTACAAACGGCAAAATAAAAAACACTAATCCACAATAATCCCATCACACAACAATCGCAGTACCCAACAGAATCTTACCACATTTAGACACTCATTGTTCCAAAAATTCAATCGAATAAATACATACACAGGCTTCACGCGTTCAGTTCCCCATTTACAGACGAAAAATGAAATCAAGGGTTTGGTCGGAAAGAATACCTGCTTGGTGGACAAAGTGCAGTTCCGGTTAAAATCGTCGACGAGGGAAGATTCTTGCTGCTGTTCATCATCGTCCACCTCCATTCCGACCA